TATATTTTCCTTATCAACCTTCCCTTCTCCTCTTACCAAGAATAATTACTGATGTGGTCCCGTCTCCAACCTCTTCATCTTGGGTCCGGCTAATTTCAATCATGGATTTGGCTGCTGGATGCTGGACTTGAATCTTTAAAAAAAAAGAAGAAGATGATCACTGCTGAATAAACACTATTCAAAAACCTCTTAACTCATTTTGCTTGGCCCTAACTCTTGAGCTTCTTAATTCCACATATTATTTCCTTTCCCTTTATTGTGAAAGGGAACGGCACCCAAAATATCCATGTTCTTTTGGGAAAAAATGAATTACATGAACTTAACTATTACAACTTCTTGAAGACAGAACAGTATCTTTTATTATTTACTTGAAGCACCACTGTGATTGAATTGTACTCTTCAAAAAGATATGTTGAAGTTCTAACCCCTCAAACCTGTGAATTTGACAACAGGATCTTTGCAGATGCAATCAAGTCAAGATAAGGCCATACTGGATTAGAGTGGGCCCCAAATCCAATTATTCATGTCATAGTAAGAGACACACCAGGAGAATACCATACGAAGAATGAGGCAGAGACCAAGTTTATGCTAAGGATTAGTGGCAACCAAGCTAGAAAAGGCAAAGCAGCATTCTTCCCTACAGCCTTCTGAAGGAGCATGGCGCTGCTGACACCTTGATTTCAAACTTCTAGCTTCAATCTATACGATAATAAATTTCTGTTTTTAGTCTATCAGTTTGTGGTAATTTGTTACAGTAGCCCTTAGAAACTAATCATTGTCTACATATATCTTAATGGGTCTTTTATGTTTTTAAAACTGTTAGAAAAAAAAAAACACACCTCTCGAAGAATGGCATTGCCATCATTGGTCATCACGATGCCTCCCATTGGGTCCAAAAGCATCTAAGACAAAAGAAAAAGTTGTATTTAAGTGACCTAGATAACAGAAAGGAAAAATTTGTAGTCTAAGAGTTTCAACAAGAGATAATAAGCCTACCTTCATCATGGACTTGGGTCCCAAACATGTTCGGATGATATCTGCAATAGTCTAACGAAAAGGAAACATAAAACATTTAAACATAAATCAGAGAACAGTGTATGCTGGAGTGTTACGGGAAAAGGGCATGAGCAACCTGCAGAGCCAGTGTTTTAACAATGACACCTCTAAAGTAGGGTTGGCAACCACTTTAGATATAGCACACTATGTGGCTAGCTCCTGTTTTTTGTCCCCACCCGTCCCCCAGCTTGAGAATGCTTTCAGTAGATACGTAAAGAAATGACTTTTCACAAAAAAAAAGGGGGGGGGGGAGGAATACCTCCTAGAGCTCAGTTTTCCAGCCATCTGAATTACTAGAACTTTGTCTTAGTATTTAATTCCATGACAGTGGCCTCCACACCACCATAAATCACATACACAGCCATTTTACTATTTCATTCAAAAGACATTTACTGAATATCCAGGATCTACCAGTGGGCACTAGGAATACAAAAGGAAATTAACAGAGTTGTTCCCGTAAAGTATCTCAGTCCCATATGGGGGACAAACACAAATAGAATATTATAAAACAATACGGCTGGGCACAGTGGCTCACGCCTGTAATCCTAGCACTCTGGGAGGCCGAGGTGGGCGGATTGCTCGAGGTCAGGAGTTCAAAACCAGCCTGAGCAAGAGCAAGACCCTGTCTCTACTATAACTAGAAAGAAATTAATTGGCCAACTAATATATATAGAAAAAATTAGCTGGGCATGGTGGTGCATGCCTGTAGTCCCAGCTACTCGGGAGGCTGAGGCAGTAGGATCACTTGAGTGCAGGAGATTGAGGTTGCTGTGAGCTAGGCTGACGCCATGGCACTCACTCTAGCCTGGGCAACAGAGTGAGACTCTGTCTCCAAAAAAACAACAACAACAACAACAAAAACCACAAAACAATATTCAATAGAATTATGTGTGGGTTAATATGAGATTATTAGTCTTCAGAGGGGTAGGGCTTCCTTCCTCCTACCACCATCAGGGAGATGTCCTGAAAGAAGAGAAGTCAACTTTCTCCTCTGTCTTGTTTCACATTCTAAAGTCTACATACATGGGAAACACAGCTATGACCAAATATGAATATAATAGGGAAGACAGCTGGAGGCAAACTAAATAAACACTTAAAAGTTTATAACACTTAAACACTAAACAAACACTTAAAAACACCTTTGCAGCATTGATGTTTCCAGATTGAACTTTTCTTCCAGATTCACGCTTTGTGTTCTGGCCTAAAACAGATAAAACAGAAGTCAATACAGCCCAGGAATGCCCCACTATACACAAGCTATTTATTCTCTGACCTTTGAAAATAAAAAAAAGCACACATGGTATATACATAGATCAAAGCTTAGAAAAGGATACACTTCAAATATGCACAGTTTATTATATATGTAGACTATACCTCAAAAAAACTTAAACATATATAGCAATCATCCTGCTTCAGTCTCCCTAGTAGCTAGGATTACAGACATGTGCCACTATGCCTGGTTAACTTTTAAATTTTTTTGTAGAAATGAGGTCTTGCTGTTTTGGCCAGGCTGGTCTGGAACTCCTGGCTTCAAGTGATCCTCCCGCCTTGGCCTCTCAAATTGCTGGGATTACAGACATGAATCACTGTGCCTGGTGTTCCTGTACAGATGTACTTATGGCTATCTACTTCTTTATTTATTTCAACCCTTGGTATATAAAGAAATAACCCACAATGCCTCAACTTTGGAATCCTGGTCAACACCTTCCCTCTAACCAAACATTCATGTGTTTTCAGCAGGGATTTATTTATAACCTAAGATCCATGAATGGGCCTCAATGGGATAGTGAACTCCTTGAGATTATGTGAGAAAATGAGAGGCTGCAATTTTTTTTTCTGGGAAGAGGATCCATAGTCATCATCAGATTCTCAAAGGGCACATGACCCTAAGAAAATATCAAGCATTGCTTTGTAATGCTTGTAATGCTTTGTAATGCCTGTTTCCATGTAAACAGGAAAAGAGTTTGGGGGTTCACATTTTCCTGCTTGGATAGGAGGATCATATTCTGACAGTCTACCACGCATAATCACTGATAGTGCCCCCACAGCGTACTGTGAAATTACAATACACTTTCTTAAAAGTGTCCAAGTTTGCATGAAAAATTATGTATGGTCACCCCATACTTGGATGTAATAAGAAAGTCTCAGTAACCCATTCACTATCAGTAATAGCTGACTACATACTTTAATAGGGATCCTAAATTGGTTACAGACACTAATGTGAAAGAATAATGCAGACCCCCAAAAAACTTTATCTATGCACCACTTACCCCAGGGCCCTGTCAGTGGAGACAAACCAGTAGCCAACCCAACATAATACTCATTTCCCTCCCCTCTTACATTCCCCTATAATCTAAATCTGTAAATCTTTCAACAAAGTCCCATCAAATCTAATACCCACAATTCTCAGGATTCACACTTCTATCTCAGGCAGTGGTAACCAGAAACTTGCAAGGACCTACAATTCATCAGAATAGGGATATTTTTTCCAGGGTTAACAAAATCTTTTTTTTTTTTTTAAGTTATTTCCCAGGTTCAGAGAAAATGAATAAAAACTCGGAACAGTATTTGGTATACAGAAGAGGGGAAAGGGGAAATGGCTAGTCAGGCATACTAGGTGATCCTGCAGATAAGATACAGAAGTTACACAAAGAACTAAAACATATCAAGGGAAGACAACAGAGGTGGTGCTCATTAGGAAAAAGTAAGTGATATTCCCAAAAGGAAGGATAACCAGTCGAGAAATTTAGAAAAACTCATTTGGTTAATGGGAAAGATTACAACGTGGGAGATAGTGAGGGAATAGATTACATCTAACATCAGTGAAATACGGTTACTTCAGGAAGAAGAGATTGCTGAACAACTGTTACTGAAAAGAAGTGTAAAGTAAAATGACCAAGGATACCACCTGCTATTCGCCAGACCCTCTATTTAAGCAGTTTGCCTACTTATCTCATTTAGTTCTCACAATTCTACACGAAAATACTATCAACTCAGCAACACACAAGGAAACACTTCAATTGCCGCTAAGGGATGGGCCAAGGACATAAAGCCAGGCCTAACTAAAAAAGCATTGTTCACTCAGCTACACGTTGAACATAATGCTAGAAAGGGTGCAGGGGCGCGAGGAAGGGTGGGGGCTGAGAAACAGAACAAGGAGTGGGAAAGCTCTTCCCAAAACGAGCACATGTAAAGAGACTTGCGAGGGGAAAGTCAGTTTGCGTTTGCGAAGAGCGGGGAATAGGTTAAGGGGAAGAGAGGAAAGCAGGAGAGGAGGAAGACGATAGAAAGGAAGACGATGACTGAAAGGCTCAGAGGCCGAGTCAGGGTGGGACAGAGCTGAGGCAGCACCGAAAAGTGAGGAGGGAGGGCAAAAAGCGGGGGTCCCTTCCCCAAGCTTCGCCAGAACTCACTAAGGACGAGAACGGGACGATGGCCCATCATGGCGGCGCGATGCAGAGCCAGGTACCCAGACCTGGGGGAACCGGCAGAACCTTCTGGAGAGAGAGAATCAGACAGAAGCACAGGAAACGCTACCTCCTCAGGGCTTACACCTAAACCCGCTACTCTCCGAGTTGCCACCAATCACCGCACCCACCTCATTGACCGGCACGAAAACAGACCAATGGCCACCTTAGCCCCGCCCCCTACGCAAAAAAAAAAAAAACCGGCAAGGCAAGCTAGATAGAGAGCGCGCGATGATGGCAGTAGAAAGGCACAGGCGCTTGCGCAATATGGTGGCCGCTCCCGGCCGCGTGCGACGCGAACATCAGCGCAAGCGCTAAGGCTCGGTCAGTTGGCTGGCGCGCCACTGCGCATGCGTTTCAACTACAGGGGTGGGTGCTGGGGGGTTGAGGCTTTGGATTAACACCCTAGGTGAGGACATTAAAATCTGCGTTGCTACTCGGCTCCTATGGGACTGTCAAAGTCAAGAAAGGCATGACAGTTTCCGTTCTTTTATTCCAGCCTTAGCTACGGGGTGGAATAGAGGGGCGGGAATTCAGCCGGCAGTTGAGGAAAGACCTGGCCGGCTAGATGCAAGGTGAACTGGGAGTTGTAGTTTTGTCAGGCAGGGCTGGGCAGCAACGATTTTTTTTTTTTTTTCCTGGGCACACTGGGAATTGTGGTTTATCCTCTCTGGACTAGTTGCTGTGAGTGGAGTTTTACCTTCTTAGGCAAATACTTTCAGCTGACGCTGTGAGCAGTACCAGAGGATGATGGCTTGCATTCTCCCTAAGTATCCTATCCAAAACATTTTCTCAAGTATTCCCTGTAGGGTTTTGAGATTTTCTTTATCCATACCCATCCCTCTCCCGCTCTCCTCACTCAGCTCTTTGTCGTTAAAGGTGATGGGGAGCCAGAGTTTTAAAATTACCAAACAGGATAGGAAAAGGACGGATAATGCAGAAATTAAGCAGAGGGAAGACGGAGAGTAATTGCCCTTTTGTAGGAGACTCTTAAGGTTTGGGTTTGGTTAAATAACTATTTCGTTCAGAAGAAAAAGAAACAATAATAATAAAAAGAATTTTTCCAAACTAGAGAAGGGTCCATGAGAGCACAAACAATTCAAGAATAGTCACTTATGCTTGGCCATGAAATAGAGTACACCCTTTCTTCCGTTTTCCTCCCCAAATTGGAGATCTGCTGGAGAGAACTTAGGAAATTGTCAATAGTACAAATAATAGCGTGGGTTGTTGATCATGTGATGCTATGATTTTTCCCCAGGCACCACATCTGTTGGTGTTCAGATGGAGCAGGACACTAGTCATCCAACTAACAGAAAAGGTGTGTGTCAGAGGCCCTGCTTCCCTTCCCTTAAATCCCAGACCTCCCTAATTGCTCAGCATTTAAGAAAATTATTCTACTTGTGCATATATTTTTTTCCTATTACTTGGTTAATTGGAAGTAAGTGTGTTTGTTCTGCATTACCCACTAAATGGGAACATTGCTGTATTCCCAGTGCCTAGAACTCTGTTAAATTAGTAGATGCTCAATAATTGTTTGTTGAATGAATTTATTCTTTCTTTGTATTTCTTCTTAATACTTAGAACAAGACAGGGATCTTAGAAGACATGCCATTAACTATACTGAACAGTTACTCAGTTTGAGTGGGACAGTTGCACTGGGCCAGGGAAATGCCTGAGGCCTTCTGACTCCAGAGCCTATCCACTTAATTACAGGTGGAGTAGATTATTTTATGTGAGAGACCTACTGTACTATAGCTGGACGTAAATTAACTAGCTGTTTTCACAGAGTATATAGTACAGTGGTAAAGAGCATGACTTTGGAGTCTACAGGCCCTGAATTTAATTCCAGCATTGCCACATACTAATTGTGGGATCTTGAACAAATTTCCTAGCTCAAGTTTCCTCAAATAAAATGTGGATAAAGCTACCTACTTCTCAGGGTCATTGTGAGAAATATATAAGAGAATGTATATAAAGCAACTTTTATTATTATTTTTTCTGTTCTGCCTCCTTTTGCTGCTCCTAGCTTCATCTTCTGTTATATATTGTCTAGTCAGAAATTTGGTTCCTTAAGTAAAGATTGTGTGTATTCTTCAAACCTTATATTAATAACTCAGTAGAAAATGCATCCTCATATGTCCAAGAAGGGCTCAAATTATTTAGAAGTGCATTTGCATGAAAATTAACACATTTTCAAATGGTAAGAATAATCTTGAGACCTGAGTTTCAGCTTTTTTCTTCTTACCACACTCTGCATGAGCCATCAAATGACTGATGACTCTGGAGCAGGAGAGAGGAGAAGATGGAGGACCCACAGTAAAATCCACAAATGTAGTGAGGGGAAAAAACCCCAGATTTCTTTCACTAAGGGTAATTGACAGAGAACTTAACAGATTTCAATTTTCATAGGCTCAGTGACCTTCCAGACAGAAAGCACCTCACCATGGCACCCACATATGAGCACTTCATCCTCTTACCAGGCCATTCCTTCTGTGGCACTCTGAGTAAAAGACAAGAATAAGACATCTTCCTTCATACAACCTACTTGTGACACCTCTGCCCCCAGACTTGTTTGTCATAAAGAGGTCCCCTCTTATCTTTATCCTTCAGATCCTAGTTGAGATAGCACTTCCTCAAGGACACATTCCCCGGTTCCACAGACTAGGTCATGTGCTCTCATAGCATTTATTGGAGTATAATAATGTGTGGACTTGATGACTTAATGATTGTCCACATTGAAAGACTGTCAGTTCCAGGACAGTAGCGATCACATCTGTTTAGCCCATGTGGTATGCTCAGTGACTGACACATAGTAGGCACTTAGCTGTCTCTTTTGTGTGTGAATGAGACATTTGTTCATTGTAACTGTTGAATCATTGACTCCCCACTGTCCTAGGCCCTTTAATTCTTTCCTAGCCCATCTGTCTGACTTTCCATTCATTGCTGTTCTGTCTACTTTGCCACTTCCTTGTCATTTCCCAGATTCCTGAGGAGGACTTCTTCAAAGGTCCAATTTTCTCTCAGTTTTTTTACCTCAAAGAGCTAATTTATTTTACAGCTTCTTTGTCCTCTTTTGGGGTTGGCCTGGCAGCTGACCTTTCACCTGTGCTCAGTGCCATTACTCTGGCTGTTTTTCTAGGTATTTCTATTTGGATTTCCTATAATTAACTAAGATTCAATGTATTCAAATGTAATTATGTTAGTATGACAGAACCCCAGCTCAAATTCCCTTGAGTAAAAAAAGTAATTCAGGGGCTTATGCAGTTGGAAGAGACACTGAGGGAGCTCACAGAATAGGAAGAGGAGCTACAAAAAAATAGGGTCTCAGGGACTAGAACTAGGGATTAAGTGCCTATTGGTATTAATATCTGTCTATACATCTATCTCTTCTACCCTCTCTTGTGCCTAATCTCTTGCTTTTATCCACTTCTCATGGTATGCTGGCCAAATTCAGTAGCTTGAATTGGGCCCAATTATACACTTTCTCAGCATAGCAAATTGAAAGAACGTATGTTTGACACAGAATCCATATATTGATCCCAGGAATGACCCTGGCCCAACTTATCTCATGTGCTTACACCTTTGGCTCAGTCACAGTTGCCAAAGGGGACAAGATACCATGGTTGGCATGTATTGGGTCACAGGCCTGTCCTTGTTGGGGAGAGGGGCTTGATTGCAGTCTCACCAGTATGTCCTGAAATCTGGAGAAACAGTAGTTTCCCTGAGGAAGGGTTGCTCAGTAGACAAAAATAATATATGTCTACTACAGAACTCATCAGCTTCCTACAGATCAGCTTTTCCTTCTCACTTAACTATTTTTGCCAAAGGTAATCTATTCACTCATGTAAGAATCTCTTCCATGTCCAACCCATTGTATTTAATACCTATAGATTAATCAAAATGCAATCTTAATTAATAATCCTAATTAATAATCCTAAAAGGCTTACTGGCTTTCCATTGCATTCAAGAGAAACTTAAACATCTCAGATTTGCTATTGTAAAAAGTCTTCCACGGCCCATGCTGCCTTCCCATTCTCCCCATTCCTAATTCTGGCCAATTTTCCAGGGCTTCTCACCATTTCAGCCATATTCTTGCTTCTTTGCCTTTGCTTAAGCCATCCTTTTCCCCCTCCCACTTAAAATATCTTATTTGTTTATCAAAACTTCCCGTTTTCAAGGTTCAATAAATACCCTCCACCTGCATGGACCTCCTCTGACTGTTGCACTCATATTGATGATCTCTTCTCCCTTTTCAAAAACATTCGTTTTTACATTTAATCACATACTTGGTATTATAACAGATGAAAGGCCTTATTTTTACTCCAGACTATCAGACTCATTGTTTATATCCTTGTGCTGTTTTATCACTGTTTCACCTGTGTCTGATTTGTCTCCCTAACTAGATAATAAGCACCTAAGAAACCATGTCTTACACATCTCATTTATGCCCTAGCATCTAGTACAATAGTAAACATGTAGTGCCTATCAATAAGAACTTGTAAAATGTAAGCAAATTATATTTTATTAGCTTTATTAGCTTATTCCACTCCTGCTTAATCCCACTATGATTTCCTTTTGTCTTATATATCTTTCTGATATGTAAGATATTCAGAGCAGGGCCTCAGCACCTGCTTTCATAGACCAGGTACAGGGATATAATTAGAAAGACTATCCCTGTTGGAATGAGCTCTGATTTAGTTACCTCTGATTTAGTTCCAGCCAAAGAGGAGGGTAATGCTGTGCCTCTTTGTAGAGCAAAACTCTCCCCCAGCTATATTAATCTTCAAGCAAGTTCCCCACCAGCTACTTTCCTGAACATCCAGACAACAAAGCTGCCCTCAGGTAAGGATGTAGGGAGTGTTTCCCAAAGGGACTCAACAGAGGGAGGGGTTGCATGGAGGAGGTGGCCTGAGCTTTCTGCTATTGATCTAGTGCCAACTCTGTGTCAAGACACCTCTAGATTTTTCATTTGTAGCTTGTTGATTGTTCAGTTCTATTGATTTCATTTTCTTCCCAGTTCTACTAGTTTGTGTTGCTTCCTTGCTTATTGACATCTTTCTAGACTAGGCAGCAGTGAAATGAAACTCTTATTGCTTGTTAGTAATGTTAGTTAAAAGGGGGCCAGTTAAAAGGAAAGAGTAATTATTAGCTCAGTCTCAGTTTCTTTGAATTTCCATTATTCATCTTCCCCTGGGGAAGTCGTGGGTATTTGGACTCCCTATGGGGAGCCCAACAGGACACTAGACAGTTTTTGAGGACCTTAGAGTCCAATAAAGAAGTAAAGATGGGCTGGGCAAGGTGGCTTATGCCCGTAACTCTAGCACTCTGGGAGGCCAAGGCAGGAGGATTGCTTTGAGGACAGGAGTGCAAGACCAGCCTGAGCAAGAGTGAGACCTTGTCTCTACTAAAAGTAGAAATAATTAGCCAGGCATCATGATGAGTGCCTGTAGTCCTAGTTATTCGGGAGGCTGAGGCAGGAAGATCCCTTAAGTCCAGGAGTCTGAGATTGCAGTGAGCTATGATGATGCCACTGCACTCTAGCTGGGGTGACAGAGAGAGACTTTGTCTCAAAAAAAAATTAAAAATATTTAAAAAATTAAAAAAGAAGTCAAGATGAATAAATATACAAACAACAGATAATATAATTACCAAGGTTAACTGAGAGCTGGCTGTGTATAATGTAGTTGAAAACATCAGAAAAAATGCTGCAAGAGTGGTTGAAGTTAGACAACAGGAAGAACTTCAAGTCACTGCTAATGAGACACTATGTCAGGTAAGAGAAAGAGGCTAAGATAACCCCTGAGCTCTTGAAAGGGTAGTTAGGCCTCACTCCCAGGCCATTTTATTCATTCATCAAATATTTGTTGAATACTTATGTGCCAGGCACTCTTCTAGGTGCAGAGGATAAAGCAGTAAACTGATCAGACAAAAATCCTTGCTTGTCTTCCTGGAGCTTGTATTCTAGAAGGGGGACTTAGACAAAAATTAAAGAAGCAATTACAAAATATGCCATATGATCATAAATACAATGGGTAAAATAAAACAAGGGAGAGGGGTATTGAGTTTCAGTGATCGGTTTCAGATTAAAACAGGATAGCCAGCTAGGCATCACTGAGAAGGTGATAGCTGAGCAGAGGTGTCTGGATTTGGTATGCCTGGAAGGATTAGAGGGGTCATTTTATTAGAGCTCTTCCAACCTCAGTACAATTATAAAATCTGTCTCCTTTGTCCCCTTGCACCTCCATTGCTCTTCCTTCAGGAGTTGGCCACAAGCCCAAGGAATGCCTAGGACTGCTAGAATGTATGTATGCCAATCTCCAGCTTCAGACTCAGCTCGCCCAACAACAGATGGCTATTTTGGAAAATTTGCAAGCATCCATGACACAACTGGCTCCTGAGAGGGAAAGTAAGAACTCTTCTCTTCCATCTTTATCTCATCATCTGTTGTTAAAACACCTGCCCCAGTTCAGTAAATGAATTGTGGAACAAAGTTATGGCGTGTTTTTTCCCTTTGTCTTCCCGGTGAGCCTTTGTTGGAATTTGGGAATACATATTCTAGGTATGGGTAGTTTACAAGTTCGTAGTAAGTGCTCATTGAGGGTAAAGCATCGTACAAGGCACTTGTGGTTACATATTACAGAAGGGACAGTTTTGTGGGATTTACTGTCTACCAAGGCAGATAAGGCAGATAATTCATTGAAAAATTTCGTGGTGTTCTGAGGTGGGATGGAGGTTAAGAGATAACATGGAAGTTACTAAGATACAACTGGATCAACCTTGGAATCTTGCTGAAGAAAGTGACCATATGATACCACTTGAGGAAGGGGAGGGATTGGGTGGCATGGACAGATGGTGTCATGTCCATAGTTCCCTGTCAATTGGGAATCTTGGACAAAGACCTAGAAAAAAAAGTCATCAGAAGTAAGGGGAAGAACTTTTTCCCCTTGCATGTAGGGTGTGAAGTAGAATGTAGAGGAGCTGAGGATAGGCAAGTCAGCTTTCCCTGCAGAATTATTCAGATAGCAAATTTTAGAAGCTCTGGAAAACCATTGACAGCTTTTGGATAGCAGTGAGACAAACATAAGAGAGTAGAAACACTATGGGCAAAACATTTTGGCGTGGAGGGAAAATGGAAGGTGATGGACCGACCTGAATAAAGTAATAATAGTAATCTGATGTGAAACTACCATCGTCTGGATAAAGGGGTTAGAAATGAAGATAGGCAATGGGTAAATCTGAGCTATATTTTAGAGAAGGATTAGTCTTGAGCTTGAAACACCAAGAGGCAGTGTCCTGAAATTTCTAAGTTGTGAAGTGAATTTAATGAGGGTTCAAGTTCAGCCATGTTTTCAGTGTTGGAGAAAACAACTCAGGTTGACTTAGCCATTTGGGATACATTAGGTCACCACTTTCTCTTACAGGTTTATTGGCAAATTAGTCTTTCTTTCCACAGAGGCCATATTTTTATGTGGAATGTGAAGATGAAAGGCAAGTTAGGCTTGAATACAGAGGTGAGGAAGAAGTGAGAAAGCAGTGATTGAGAAGAGAACTTCACATTGGCCTTCAACTCTCTGAAGGGATTTCCAGAGAGACCTCTTTATTCTGTACCATAAAGAGAACAGAACAAGAATAAGGCTGAAAGTGAAGCTTGAGGAATGGGAGCTTGGCATTTAGGAAGAAATTCTGGTTATCTAGGCTATTGCTTATAGAGGAAGAGAAGGAGGAAATTAAAATAATTTTATAATGGAAGAGGTCCCCATATTTGTGGATAAGTGTGGACCTAACTGTGCTTAGATGCAAAGGAAAGGTAAATTATATGTGGAAATTTCCGTTAGTCCCATTATCCCATCACTCTCATTAAAATGCAATTTTTGAATAAAATCTTAACTGGATCTCCTCTTCGCTTGGCTGGTGATCTTGTCATTCATACTTAAATCTCAGAAATCATACTTAATGGAATGATACTCCATGCTCATGGATAGGAAGACTCAATATTGTTAAGATGTTAGTACTTCCCAACTTGATCTATAGATTCAGTGCAATCCCAGTCAAAATCCTAGCAAGTACTTCGTGGATACTGACAAACTCATTCTAAAGTTTATGTGATCTGGGCATCCAGGTCCACTGAAAAAAAAAAAAAAAAAAAAGAAAAAAAATAAATAAATAAATAAAGTTTATGTGAGGGCCGGGAGTGGTGGCTCATGCCTATAATCCCAGCTCTTTGGGAGGCCAAGGTGGGAGGATTGCTTGAGGCCAGGAGTTCAAGGCTACAGTGAGCTATTAATTGTACCACTGTACCCCAGCCTCGGTGACAGTGAGAACCCTGTCTCTAAATAAAATAAAACAAAATAGTGTATACAGAAAGGCAAAAACCACACACTAGCCAACACAGTATTGGAGAAGAACAAAGTTGGAGGACTGACACTTCCCAACTTCAAGGCTTTAATATAATAAATAATAACATGATATAATACGATATAAAGCTACACTAATCAAGACAGTGTAGTATTCATAAAAGAATAGACATAGATCACTGGGACAGAATAGAGAGTCCAGAAAAAGACTCACACAAATACAACTGTTAACTGATCTTTTGATGAAGGAGCAAAGGCAATCCAGTGGAGAAAGGATAGTTTTTATTTTCTTATCTTTTAATTTACTTTTTGAGACAGATTCACTGTCACCCAGGCTGGAGTGCAGTGGCATGATTATAAAAAAATAGCATAGTACAGTAGTTCCCAAAATGGGGCCAGATATTCCTGGGTGTTCCTAAAACCTTTTTAGGGGATTCATGAGGTCAAAACAATTTTTGTAATAATACTAAAACATCATTTGCCCTCACTCTCCTTCGATCATGAGTATATAATGTTTTCCAGAAACTACATGGCATGTGATATCACAAGAGATTGGATGCAGAAGCAGATATGAGATTTCAGTATTTTCTAATAAGCCAGACATTAAAGAGATTTGTGAAAATATAAAATAATGCTATCACTAAATGTGTTTTATTTTGGATAATATAGTTTTTTTTTTAACTTTTTTCCTTGGCCAACTTAATCTTTTTTATTTTTTTCTTTTTCTTTTTTTAATTTTTTTTTTTTTTTTTTTTGAGACAGAGTCTCGCTTTGTTGTCGGCTAAGAAAGTGGGAGTGCTGTTGGCGTCAGCCTAGCTCACAGCAACCTCAAACTCCTGGGCTCGAGGCGATCCTCCTGCCTCAGCCTCCCGATAGCTGGGACTACAGGCATGCGCCACCAATGCCCGGTAATTTTTTTTTTTATATATATATCAATTGGCACTTAATTTCTTTCTATAGTAGAGACGGGGTCTCGCCTTTGTCAGGCTGGTTTGAACTCCTGACCTTGAGCAATCGCCCGCTCCGGCCTCCAAGAGCTAGGATATACAGGCGTGAGCCACCGCGCCCGGCCTTTTTTTTTTAATTTTTATTTGACTTTTTATCTTTTCAACTTTTTATAATGAGCTCATGACAACTTAATCTAATATCAAATTTTTTATTAAAAATATTTTATGTTGGCCGGGCATGGTGGCTCATGCCTGTAATCCTAGCATTCTGGGAGGCTGAGGCAGGCGGATGCTCCGAGGTCAGGAGTTCAAAACCAGCCTGAGTGAGACCCTGTCTCTACTAAAAATAGAAAGAAATTAATTGACCAACTAAAAATATATATACAAAAAATTAAGGCCGGGCGCTGTGGCTCACGCCTGTAATCCTAGCTCTTGGGAGGCCGAGGCGGGTGATTGCTCAAGTCAGGAGTTCAAAACAGCCTGAGCAAGAGGCAGACCGTCTCTACTAATAAATAGAAAGAATTAATTGGCCATGACTATATATATAAAAAATTAGCCGGGCATAGTGGCGCATGCCTGTAGTCCCAGCTACTGGAGGCTGAGGCAGAAAAGATCACTGCAGCCAGGAGTTGAGGTTGCTGTGAGCTGGTGACGCCACGGCACTCACTCTAGCTGTGACAACAAAGCGAGACTCTGTCTCAAAAAAAAAAAAAAAAAAAAATTAGCCGGGCATGTGGGCACATGCCTGTAGTCCAGCTACTCAGGAGGCTGAGGCAGTAGGATTGCTTGAGCCCAGGAGAATGAGGTTGCTGTGGATAGGCTGATTGCCACGGACTCACACTTGCCTGGGCAACAAAGTGAGACTCTGTTTCAAAAAAAAAAAAAAAAAATCTGAAGGTTTAAGATTCTCAGGTTCATGCATCCAAATGTCTCCTCCCAGGTCTTCTGGTCTTACTCTTCCTGTCAGAGTCCTGACTTTGATATAGGAGACCTGTTGACACTGTGCATTCAGTCTCCTTTGCAATTCTGCCACCTATCAATTAGATCCCATATCTGATTTTCGGTGCAGTCTGCCTTGCAAATGAGAAGAGAGTCTCATTAAACATTGCCATAGAGGCTCTGTGGCTTTCACATCATGCCTTGAGTTAATAGTAGGCTGACCTGAGCCTATAATTTTCTTTGTTTTCAAGACTTCCAAAGCAATTAACAAAGTCAGTAGATCCTTATAATTACCATTGTCCCTATGCCATTTAAGGGTCATAGCTATGATATTTCCCAACACTTGAACTTCTACCTCATTCTAATCCACCACTGGTGAGAATCTTAATTATTTGATGCTATCATACACCAGGAATTATCAGCAATGGAGTCTTACTTTGCCATCTGACTAAAGAGTGATCCAGTCCCAAAATCTCATCTTGAAGGTCTGGAACCACTTGCTTTTTTCAGATTCTCCCAAAAGCAAAGCCTGAGTCAAAGGTTTGCATGCACTAGTTTATTTGGGAATGCGACCAAGAGAGCAGGTATGCAGAACAAGGGGAGAGGCATAGAAAATAAGGGGATGATGATGTAAAGATGTGTTACTGAGTTGGCTACCACCATAGGTGACTGGTGTTTTATCCCACACGACCTTCTCTGGAGCTTTATGAAATGCATCTTAGAACCCCCAGCCAAGGAGAATGAAAAAGGGGAAATGTATCTATTGGCTCCTTTTTTTTTTCTTTTTTCTTTTAGCATATTATGGGGGTGCAAGTGTTAAGGTTACATATATTGCCCATTTCCCCCTCCCCCCTCTATTGGCTCCTGATCCTTGCTGGCAAGAGTGGTCCCACTATTGATAACTCTTCCATGTTTCCAGGTTGTACATGCATGAGTCTTTGTGGGTTCTTGCAAAGAAGCCTCAGGGCAGGTGATAGAAAGTATATAGTGTGGGCCAGGCATGGTGGCTCACACCTGTAATCCTAGCACTTTGGAAGGCTAAGGCAGGAGGATCGCCTGAGGCCAGGAGTTCAAGACCAGCCTGAGTAAGAACAAGACCATGTCTCTACAAAAATAAAGAAAAAAAATTACCTGGGCATGGTAGCACATGCCTGTAGTCCTAGCTACTTAGGAGGATTGCTTGAGCCCAGGATTTTGAGGCTATAGTGAGCTATGATTGATGACACCACTGCACTCTAGCCTCGGAGACA